TCCAGTTATCCCTTTTTCTTTCTCCAAACATATCATCATCATCAATTAGCCCATATTTGTCTACTGCTGAACGTAGGCCTCCCGTAAAATTGTCCACTTATTTCTGTCTTGAGCTTCTTGCATCCAGTTTGTGGTGATGCGCTTGATATCATCCGTCCATCTAGTCGGTGATCGTCCTCTGCTTCGATATTCATCTTGCCTTGGTCGCCATTCCAGAATCTTCTTGGTCCATCTGTCATTCGTTAATCTGGCAACATGTCCGGCCCCCGCCCATTTAGCCCTGGCTATTTTTTCAACTGCATCTGTGACTCCTATTCTTCTTCTTATTTCTAAGTTTGGTACTTTATCTCTGATGGTAATACCTAATATTGATCTTTCCATAGCGCGTTGTGTAACTCTTATTTTATCTATAGTTCTTTTTGTCAGAGTCAGTGTTTCTGCACCATATGTAAGAACGGGTAAAACGCACTGGTTAAAAACATTTCTTTTTAAACAAACTGGGATACTAGACTTGAAAATGTTATTCAATCTACCAAAGGCAGTCCATGTGAGACCTATCCTTCTTTGTATTTCAGTTGTCTGATTATCTCGGCCTAGGCGAATCTCATGCCTTAGATATTTGTAAGCTATTACTTGGTCGATGCTATGGCTCTCAATCAGAATTTTACAGCTGACTATAAGGTTGGTCATAAATTTTGTTTTTGATGTGTTAATTTTAAGACCAATTGATTTTGACACTTTATAGAGCGTGTGTAGCATTTTTTTGTAGCTTTATCAACTCTATCAGATATTAAAACGATGTCATCGGCAAATCTTAGGTGGTTCAGATCTTCACCTTTTATATTAATTCCCATATTATCCTCTCGTTCCATCTGCTTGAACATGTTCAAGCAGATGTTTAAGCTCCAAACACATAGGGCAATTTAAATCAAGAAGGGCCCGAAATTTTAAAATGTGAAGTTTTTCAAACAATAAAATCAACCGAAAACCAGAGAGCAACTGGACTAGACAACATCCAAGCTAAACTCTTAAAAATTATACAATAGTACCACATGAATGCTCTAATTAAGCTTTATAATGAGTTTTATTTAAATACTTAAGGAATAGCTAAGTGTGTCGGGTTTTATAGTAAATTGCAAAGAAGCAGCAAAAGCGGCAAAAATGTGACGAATACAGGTTAATTAGTCCAACACATTGAACATTTTTCTTCTTTTTTCTGTTCTTGCTGTTATTTTTTATTTGTTTTCAAATACAATCTGTTACATACAAACAAGTAAGGCTATGCATTTTTGTTAATTGAACATAATATGTAAGCAATAGTTTTAGTCCAATGACTATCAACTTCTAATAAGTTTATTACTAATAACAAAAGTCTAAGTAAAAACAGCAGATACAGCTTACAGATAATACATGGATATGCACCGACAAGAAACTCAACAGACGAGGAAGCTGAATCATTCTACGAGGATCTGACAACAGCAAGGAACCAAGAAAAATCACACTTCGTAATAATCACAGGAGATTTTAATGCAAAAATTGGTACAAAAGAAGACGGCGACACACAATATATCGGTCGCTTTGGGCTGGACAACAGGAACGAAAGGGGTGAGATGTTGTACAACTACTTAAACAACGAAAATCTATTTTGTCTCAACACTTTCTTTAAAAAATCTAAACAACGTAAATGGACATGGATCAGCCCAGACAAGAAAACTAAGAACGAAATAGAGTACATACTCTCCAATAACAAAAACATATGCACCGACGTGACAGTACTAAACAAATTCTATACCGGGAGTGACCATAGATTGGTTAAAGCGAACATTAAAATACAGACGAAAGTAGAACGAAGCAAACTTATTAAACGAGAACGATACCCAACCACCGATGTCCTGTCTCAAAAACAAACGGAATACCAAAAAGAACTAAGCACAAGACTAAAATCAATAGAGACACTGAAACAATTGGATATAAACGGACTAGCCACTAAAATAAAAGTAACTGTAACAACATCGGTTAAGAAAATATGCTCAAACACGAAAACAGCCAAAACATCTAAACTCCAACCTAATACAATTAAACTACTCCAAGAAAGACGAAACAGAACAGATCGAACTTCGGACAGCTTTAAAAGTTTAAACAAAAATGTGAAGAAAGAAATCAGGAACGATCATAGAAACTATAATAACAATCTAATAAAAAACATAATACAAGATAACTGCAACATGAAAGTACTCAAAGCAAAAAACTCAAGCGGCACAACAAAAATCATAGAAATAAAAAATGAGAAAAACGTCACCGTCAGAGACAGAAAGAAAATAAGCGAGGCCATTGAAAAATTCTACACTAAACTATACTCGGTAAATACACAACCACAACAACGACGTACTCAACGAACAATAATTAACACCGGCTCAGAAGAAATACCGGACATAACCGACTATGAAATAAGAATGGCCCTAAATCAACTTAAAACGAATAAATGTCCGGGAGAGGATAAGATTACAGTTGAAATGTTGAAAATTGGTGGCAGAAAAATGGAACAGGTATTAAATGTTTTATTTAATAAAGTAATTGATGAAGGAAAGATACCTCAAGAATGGTACAACTCCGAGGTCATTTTATTATTCAAGAAAGGAAACAGAGCAAACATCGAGAATTACCGACCAATATCCTTGCTATCACATCTGTATAAATTACTAACTAAAATCATAACCAACCGCCTAACACATAAGCTCGATTTCTATCAACCTATCGAGCAGGCTAGATTCAGAAAACATTTTAATACCATAGACCACTTGCACACCGTAAGAACACTGATAGAAAAATGCACCGAGTATAATGTTCCAATTCATATGGCGTTCGTCGATTTCCACAAAGCATTCGATTCCATCGAATTATGGGCAGTGCTTGAATCTCTAGAAAATGCACGCATAGATTCAAGATACATTAACATAATTAAAAACATATATGAAAATGCCACAATGCATATAAAACTGGACGAAAGCACAAAAACTAATCCCATAAAAGACTACAACGGGGAGTAAGACAAGGAGAAACCATCCCTCCCGAACTATTTACTCTTGCTCTAGAAGATATTTTTAAGAAACTGGAATGGAACAATAAGGGTATCAACGTCGACGGATCATACTTAAACCATTTGAGATTCGCAGATGACATAGTTTTAATAGCCGATAATATCCAAGAACTAAATGATATGTTACAACAATTAAATGCAGTTTCAGGAGCGGTAGGCTTAAAAATGAATTACAGCAAAACAAAAATACTGAGCAGAGACCAGACAAATTTAACAATACAAAATCATACCATAGAAAATGTGGAACATTATGTATATCTAGGTCATGTTATCAAACTAGGAAAACCAAATCAAGATGCTGAAATTAAAAGAAGAACACAACTGGCTTGGAGCGCTTTCGGCAAACTAGCACATATCTTGAAAAACACCTCCATTCCTATAAACTTAAAGAAAAAGGTGTATAACACATGCATACTACCTGTTTGTACCTACGGCTTGGAGACAGTAGCACTTACCAAAAAATCTGCCAAAAAACTAGAAACAACGCAAAGAGCAATGGAACGAATCATGCTTGGAATATCACTAAGAGTCAAGACTAGAAACACCGAGATAAGACGTAGAACGAAGATAAGGGATATTGTGGAAGAAATTACAAAAATTAAATGGCGCTGGGCAGGTCACGTAGCCCGATATAATGACAACAGGTGGACACGGAGAATTCTAGAATGGAGACCAAGGACGACAACATGAAGCATGGGAAGATCTCAAAAAAGATGGGTAGATGACATAAGAGCAGTGGCAGGCAAACAGTGGATTAGATTGGCGCAAGATAGAGAAAGATGGAAGCAATTGGGAGAGACCTACATTCAGGAGTGGATGTAAAATGGTTGACAAAGAAGAGAACAAAAGTCTAGGCGCCTATTTTTTAATTGGTAAGTCAAGAGAAGTTGTCCAACAAATTTACTGCTAACTCGTTGGGGTGTTTAAACCAGTCGTTTAAAATATTTATCACTGCTATCACTATTTAAATATTTAACTCTCCCTCTATCTCAACCCACCACTAACGCCTTGCTGTATTGCTTAGTGTCAGCCTAACAGCCTTCGAAGATGGAGCTTTCGATCGCTGTTACTGTCAGATGCAAAATTCGTGTTGTGATATATTTTTTAAATGCAAATCGGATTTCACATATTGGCATTTATCGTAAGTTAATCAAAGTTTATGGGGAAAAGTGCATATCTGTTCAACAACTTTGCAAATGGTGTAGATAATTCAGTGAAGGTAGAACGGAAATTTACGATAAAGATCGGTGCGAAATGTTTTCAGTTTCAAAAGAAATTGTCGAAAAAGTTGAACGAATATGGCTTGAAGATCAAAAGTTTACCAATAGCAACCTTACTTTGTGTATTCCTAAGACTTCTCACCCCAAAATGTATGTTCAGTGGTGTAAGGTTTCTCCATGACAACGCATGACCTCATGTCTCACATCAAACTGGACAACTGCTAAGCGATTTTGGCTGGACTGTTGTGCCCATCCCCCTGTCGTCCGAACCTAGCATCAAGTGATTATCAGTTATTCCCAAAATTAAAGGAACACTTGGGTGTCTTACGCTTCCATACCGATGATGAAGACAAGGAAGAGATTACTTGATTTCTCAATGGATTGGTGGTAGAATTGTATAATATGGGGATAGAAAAGTTGAATCATCGTCTGCAAAATTGTTTGAAAAAAAATGGCGATTATGTAGAATAATAGCGCAAGTTTTTGCTCCTAGCGTAAGTTGTCGATTTATAAAATTCAAGGAAACCTTATTTTATATGTAGACTATAATATAGTCATGTCTAATTGCGTTTTCGTCACTGAACGACTTACCATTATATTATTTTACAAAAATTTAACATTGGAATACATAAACAAAAAATTATATAATATTTTTTATTAAAATACTACCTACTCTATTTTAGGTAGAACATTTCCCAGGTTATACCTACGAAGAAATTCTTAGAAAAATGAAAGCTATAACACTGGAAAAGGAAGGTCCGAAAAAATCAAAACTTGAAGAAGCTATGATTCAATGGCTTAGAGATGTTGCTCCAGATGAGGTCAATGAGCGGACTCTAAAAGCCATACATGAATATGCCTGTGCTCTATTAGATGAACTTAAAAAACGAGGATTTAGTGGTAAGTTTGTGCCTAGTTTTTGATAATAAATTTTAACCATGAAATGATTTAAGAAGTTTATGATTATATTAAACCTTTAGTTAGGTGACAACGTGATATTATTAATTACCAAATTCGGAGGGTGAAATCGTTATTAGAGAAAGGTACAAGTTTTATTTATTGTATCCAACAATATGAACAAAAAATTTTTTTTGTTCAATATTGTTTTTTTGAACAATACAGAATACAACAAACATAACAGGCACACAACTACTATAAACGAATTAGAAATGAAACGAATACTTTAGTTAGACAAATAAAAAAAGGAACTCTGACAGAGTTTCCCAAAACAGATGGAACACAAAAAGAAATATGGAGAATGATCAGAGAACAAAAAAAGAGATGAACGAACTAATAAAAACAAAAGACATTCAGAAGGAAATATGGGTAGACCAATTTCGATTCCTATTTGCTAAAGGTGATGATAATAAATTACCAACACTAGAGGTGACGACAAACGAAGAAATAAATATTGAGGAGGAAGAGGTAAAGGAAGCATTAAGAAAATTAAAAAATAATAAAATAAAAATTGGGAGAGGACAGAATACCAAACGAACTCCTAAAGTACGGAGAACCAGATCTGACCCAACAACTACTAGAACTAATCCAAAAATAATAGCACAAAACAAAATTCCTCAAGAATGGAGATCAAGCATCCTAATACCTCTCTTCTAAAATGGAGACAAATCGGACCAGAAAATTACAGAAAAATTAATTTATTAATCACAACACTTAAATTATCAACCAAAGTAATAATAAATAAACTGAACTCTAGGAATAATCAAAACGATCGAAAATATCTAACAAAACAACAACACAACAAAAGTAAAAGTAGAAGAAGAACTAACCCTATTGACGCTGGCAATGGGATAAGACAGAGAGATTCCCTGAGTCCTCTATTGTTCAACCTGATTACGGAAGAAATAATAAAAAAAGTAAGAACTAAAAAAGGATACCAAATGAGAGAAAAACAACTTAAAATAATGTGCTATGCAGACGATGCAATACTAATCTCTCAAACTGAAGATGATTTACAACGTATGCTACATCAATTTAATATAACAGACAGAAAAATGTTAATTTTCCCAAAAAAGACAAAATGCATGGTTACAACAGTAAATTTACTAAGATGAAAATTGGAGTTGAAAGGTCAGAGAACAAGTGACGGAGTTTAAACATCTAGGCATCACATTATCTAGCTACGGAATTCTTGTAACTGAAGTGGAAGATTAAGTGAATAGAGCAAACAGAACCGCAGGCTGAATAAATGAAACAATATGGAGAAATAAAAATATCGAGAAAGAAACGAAAGGCAGAATTTACAAAACAGTCATCAGACCAATAATGAGATACACGGCAGAAACAGGACCTGACACAGAGAGGACAAAAAGAATAGTAGAATGATGACAAGACACTTTGTGACAGAGCTAGAAGTACAGATATACGACGTAGATACAAGGTGAAGAACATCAAGAACTGGGTAAGAAATAGAAGAGCAGAATGAAATGATCATATAAGCCGAATGACAACAAATAGAGTAATAAAGACGGCAAGAGACGATTCCCCAATAGGAATATGATCAGTAGGAAGACCACGAAAACGATGGAATGACAACTTACTGAAGGCATGTTGTAAAACAGATAGAGTCATGTCTATATAAAAATAAAAAGAAGAAGAACAATTTGAATAGTGACAAACAAAACAAAACTAACATAAATTTAAAGCAAAGAATTATACCACAGTACAATGGTCAGGAAAATTTGGAAACGAATACAACGCGAAATAGGATTATGATTTTACAAAGAAATGTTAGAGGGGACTTTTGAAGCAGGTGCGCTAAAAATCTTAATAGATACCTGGGACACATATAAAATAAATATTTCAGCCATTCAGGAGACCAAACAAAAAGGAAAATTTTGCACAGAAATAAGACACAGCCTAATTTTTAACAGTGAAGGCAGTTATTTGGGTTTGGATTTCTTATTAGGAAAATAATTTCCCATTTGGTGATACATTCTGATCTAGTCATATCCAGTTTATGTAAGATAAGAATAAGGGGAATGTAACATAAGGAAAACAAATGTTAACATAAGTTATTTAATCATTCATCATATAGTTTTAAATTTAAGGATATTCTTGCGATTCAGATTGAAATTAGGTCAATACCAAGAACGTAATGTTACTATAATAATTACCAAACATTCTACGTTTATTTTATGTTATTATTGGTGTAAACAGACCTTTGAGACCTTGGAGATCAACAACTAATTCAGAACAAATTGCTGATAGACGTTATGTGATGCCAGAAGCCGCGACCTATTGCACTTGGAAACACGTTAGAAGTTTGCATTAAAAGTGAAAAGTAATATCTGTCTTTTTATAAGCCCAACACAACAATAAAGTAAAAAAATCATTTATAATCTACATACATAGAAAATAGGGCATGCAAGGATAAATGGGGAAAAAGGGCCACAAATATTTTTGGAGAGAGTGTATCATCAACCTGTCTAACCTCTCTGTGTTTCAGTTGATGTGTAAAGGTTGTTGGGCTTTACGTTTGATTTAAGTCAATTGCATTTTTTTTTATATTTCAAAAGTTAGGTTACATAAACAAATTAATATACCTTTGGGTTTCAGAATATATAAACTTAACGAACGTCTAAACTTTAACGTTTAAAACACATTGTTTATTTCTTGCTTAGAATCTGAATTTGATTATAATTAAGGAATATAATGCTGCAATATTACAGTAAAAAAAGTGTACTACGGGAAGCTGCGACTACATAATTTTCTGACTTATTGCAAAGAAATTTAATTTGGGATAAACAAATTACATAACTTTTAAACTATTTGACTGATCGATTTAAAAGCTTGATCATACTTTAAACACTACAAGACCTAACATTATATGTAATATAAAGGTTAAAAGTTTATTTTTAAAAAAAATTTTATAAAAAACCAAAAGTTTTGACTTATTATGCAATTTTCTAAGAAGCAAATAAGGATAGAAACATTTAAAAGAACGCGATTTTAAAGGTCTTTATATGACTTAGTTGCTTAAGTCCGTGTCAGACGGTCAAATATTTGATCAAACTAGTTTGACCAAACCAGAAAATTGACAGCATATGACGTCACATCCTGAGTTTGATCAAATCCTCTAAAAACAGAAGATCTCCTATTTTTAAGGTCAGTTTGATCAAACTTTAATTTTGATTGATCCAAAAATATCTAAAGTCAAATGACAATCAGCAGTTAGCAATAAAAATAAAAATTTAAAATATCTTGCCGCCAGGAAGTTTCTACATTATTGATTTATACCGAGAAACAATATGTTTATCTAATGTCAAACATCTATATTATTATAAAAATCTTTTCACCCTATTTATTTTCTTTGTGTATAAGAAAAATTAGAATCGTAAATAAAGCCCAAACCACTAATAAAATAAGCAAAAAGACAATTAATTTCCTTGACATACGCCAATTTGATCAAATTTGAATAATCGTGTGACAGGCAGATTTTTAAAATTTGAACAAACTGTAATTATGACGTCATTATGTCAGTTTGCTCGAACTAGTTTGATCAAATATTTGACCGTCTGACACGGACTTTACTCTCAAATTCTGAAACTCTGAAATTTGTTCAAAATTCAGTTAAAAATTAACTATTTTTGACTTAAAATCATTCAGTTTTTTAACTAATGTAAGTTACATTCGGTTCTGTATTGACCTATCCAATTTTATTTTTATTTCATTTTATTTATTTTAAATTTTAGAAGATGACATCGATAAACTGGGGACGATCGTTGATGCAGAAGATGCAGGTAAGTAGAAAATATTTGATATAAATATATATATATATATATATATATAATCATTCATCAAGTCAATTCATTAATATCAGTCTCCCGTTTTACTTTTTGAATTTTGACAAAGGCAAGGGTTTCCTGCCGAAACGTTTTCAATGGACAATAAAATCTAGTTCCAAATTTATTATTGAACCTAAACTCAAAAAATAATAATTTTATATTATATAAATATAAACCACCAAATTGCATAAAATTAGGTTTACCCGGTACTTTGGGTATTATCGAAATTGATTGGATAAAAGGCAAAGAAGATTAATACTTCTTGAGTTGTCCGGGTCATTCTAAATAATATCCAATGTGAAATGGATAAAGCACTACATTTTAAACTTGGCATGGAAGGTAAATAAAGAAGAGCAAGAACTAATGACTGGTTTAACGAAGAATGTCATATTATAGTCTAAAGGCCAAACCAGATCACCGTGACATTTACAATTGTGATTAATCGACCCAAGTTTTTTTATGTATTTCTCCGCTGATTACGAAGGGGTGATTCGATCCAAGTTATCCAAGTTATCCAAGTTATCAAACAATTGTTATAAACAATATAATTGTTTATGAGGGTCTAGTACCTTAACTAAAAAAATAAAATAAATTTTCAAATAAAATTTTATTGTTTAAAAAACAAAGAAAATGGCGTTGACTAAACTTTATTGCAATAATTAGAACTTAAGATGTATAAAATTAGAGCAAAATGGTTGCAAAATAAGTATTTTTTAAAGCTTTTTTAATTATAACTCGGCTTTTACGCATGCAAATGAACTTCGGAAAGTCACATTTTAAAACCTAATTTATAGACTTTTAAAGAAAATTACTAAGATTGCTGTATTTGTATTAAAGTTATACCGGTTTAAAACAATGTAAATTAATTTGTTTATAAGGGTTTTAAGCAAATTTGAGCAATAAACATTTACTAAAATTAACAGTAATGATAAAAGAACTCTAAAGGAATATTTTGAGCTTGAGAAAATGTTAGTAGGTTTATTTTTGGCCAAGATATGGATATTTTATAGCGCGCTCTGATAAAACCGCTTGATATAAATTATAGTTAATATATATATATATATATATATATATATATATATATATATATATATATATACGGTATACAATTTTCACATATAATTCTTATAATTAAATCATTATAAAGTAGATTCCTTTCATTCTATTTACTTTTTATTTCAATTTTTTGTAGTAAATGAGAAGAAACATTAAAAACTAAGATTTCAAGAAAATCTTAAAAGGAAGTTGTTCTTATTTATTGATATTATTTTTAACTTGCATTTTATTATTTAGCATTTACATAAGTTTTTAGAACAATCTTTACATTTCCGTGCTTGCAGGCATTAAAATTAAAACTTTTTGAGGCTTGAGAGTCTCATTATCTATGTGATATCCATATAAAAGAGGATCTTTTATATGGATACCGAGAGAGTTTCTTTTCAGATCCGTCAACGCACATCAATTCCTCTTTTATATGGATATCATATACAAAGCACGTGGTGTTCGTGTGTATTAAGGTATAAAAACGCTTATTAAAAGCTTAAATTTTTTTATTATGAAGAAGATCTTTTCGGAATTGTATCATTCCATCATGAGTTGAATAAAAAAGGTTGTTAAAAAACATTGTGTGGCCACATAAAAAACATTCGGTGGACATCTGGATTTAAAAAATAATATTCTTCGTGTTATTTATTCAGGTAAATGCAATAGACTCTTGACTTGTGTAATATAAAAAATGAAACTGGGGGCATCTTATATGACCCCCTGTAGTTGGTGAGGTTTTATTGACTTACATTACCTCTGATCTGTGTTGGAGTCTAGGGCTATCTCCACTTCATGGTTTGTTCCAGTTTCACTTTTAAGGATATCATATAGATAATGAGACTCTCAAGTTTTAATTTTAATATTGCTCTAAAAACTTATGTAAATGCATAAAAAAAAAATTTGTAAAAATAAGATTAATAAATAAAAACAACTTTCTTCCTCTCAAGTTATATTTCTGAAATCTTAGTTTTTAATGTTTTCTCTCATTTAGTACAAAAAATTGAAATAAAAAGTAAATAGAATGAAAAGGATCTACTTTCGGATGATTTCGCGAAAAATAAACCTACGAACAGTTTCCCGAGCTCAAAATGTTCTATAATATTCTACTCTCTATTGTGCACTAATTTTACATATCTTGAGTTTTAATTATTCGATTAAAGTTTATTAAACGCCATTTTCTTTATTTTTTTAAGGAACAAATTTTATTTGAAATTTTTTTATCCCTTTTAGTTTACGATCTAGAGCCTTACCTACAATTAAATTGTTTATAACAATTGTTTGATCACTCGAATCGAAATCCACCCTCGAAATTCGTAATCAGCTGTCAAAAATACATAAAAAAAACTAACTTTGGTAAACCCATCAGAATTGAAAAGACCACGGTGACCTAGCTGGCTCCTAGACTATTATAACAGAAAGTAAAACTGATCATATTTACTAAGCAACAGGAACACAGAATCCGAGAAGCAGAGGAGGAATATAAAAAACTGCGTAAAGAAGAAAAAAAACATGTTCAAAGAACTTAGCACTATAAGAACTAAATAAGCCAACAGAGACAAAAAATTTCCAGAAACTGAACAAAAGAAGAAAAGAATTCAAACCGAGAACAATGTAAAGTAATAAGGGAGGTAATATATTGACAGAACAGCAAAAAATACTAAGATGAACAGAACATTTTAAAGAAAAGCTTCAGGGATATAGGATTGAGGCGAAATCTGATATACCTACCATAAAACCAAGTAGACATTAAAGAAAAGAGTCGACGAATAACCAAGATTAGAATAGCAGTAGTCATATTATACAACAAAAAATCACCGGGATCAGATCAAATAGCATCGGAGCTACTGAAGGAAAGAGGAGAGGCATTACTAACAACAATACATAAGCTGATAATCAAGATATGTTTGAATAAACAGTTACCAGCAGAGTGAAATACTGGTATTATTGTACCGTCACATAAAAAAGAGACCAGGTAGAATGTGGAAACTACCGTGGAATCACGCTGTTTAACCCAGCACACAAAATAATGTCCAACGTTAATTATGAAAGACTTAGACCACACGCTCAAAAAATAGTTGGCAAATAGCAATGTGGCTTCTGCAGACAGAAGTCACCAATAGACCAGATATTTGTTCTACGATAGATTATCAAAAACAAGCTAGTATAACATCGATACACATCATCTTGTCATAGACTTCATGACAATATAAACCATGAATTCTTATACAAGCAATGAAAGAATTTAATATACCAACACAAAGAATAGTATTAATAAAAGAAAACCTAATAGTAGAAAGTCAAATCCGGATACAAATCGAATTAACAGAAAAAGGTTGTTTAACATCATGCTCGAGATGTAACGATATTAATGTACCACATTGGTTATCACTTGTAGGGGATTGAAACGTTTGCGAATGGCCACTCTTGTTTTGGTTGGAGAGCTGGGTCATAAGTAAGTGAATAAGGGAGGGACTGGATGGGTAAATACAAAGAAAGAAATAAAAAAAATACTTACATAGATTTTCTGGACAACACACACAAGAAGGTTCCTAAACTATTTGAATTTGGACGCTGTTTAAAAGAATCATCTTACTGTATAGAAAGAAAGTCATTTTTCCTAAAACATATTAAAGGAAGAAAATCTTTTTAAAGAAAATAATTCGACATTGAGGTCACCCTTTAACGAAAACAATTCAAAATTACGGTTATGTACCAAATGTCAGAAAAAGATAATACTGACTGTCATATGTCGAAATAAAATATCAAGTCTTTTTGAAATATTAAATATTGAAATTAATTGTATTTAAAAGAAGACTAATATGACAACTAGCTAATCTATAACACTTATAATTGTATTTATTTATAATTTTTTAGTTTGTCACAAAAGCAAATTTTTTATTAATGAAAAATTGTATATTTTTACTTTGAATAATTTTAATAAAAAGAACTAGGTATCACTGTCTCATGTATTTCCTTTAAGAAAGCTTTTGGGATTGGAATTGAATCAAAACGCTTTAAACAACACACAACTGTGTCCCACACAAACTACAATTATTCTGAGGTGACCGTGGAACACAAATGGACAATTCTTGGGAAGTTGGACACTAATTCGGGCTTTGAATTATCCTGTATGACAACAAACTACAATATTCAAAACTCAGCCGCTCAATTTTTTCTTTAAACCATGTGGACCTCTCAAATGGTTGGAAACGCCGTCTTACAAATCTCCCACATAGAGCACAGCATAAACAATCAGTGATTAATTAAAAAAAACTGCCAAATAGCATTTTGAGCCCAAATTCACCTCTCAACTTAAAAAAAAATTACCAGCTTTTGAAGACTACACGCCGAAAGCTATCTCTTCCCAAATCTCCAATCTCTCCCCTAACTGTTTTTCCTCCTCTCGGTTTACTCGACCCCGACGAGTTTTCGCTGCCAGCCAATCGGAACTTTTTCTAATGACGCTTTTTATTTAAATATGGACGTTAACAGTGCCGGGCTTTCCAAATTGTAGGAATTATTTAATTAAAACGTAAATGTTATCTACGCAGTTAAAATTTCTCTTAGATGTTTTCGCATAACATTTGTATAAACAAACTTCAAGGAAGAATCACTAGAACAATACACAAATTACACCACCAAGACAGTACCAATTTACGAACGAATTAAAAGATTACCGTATTATATCAATCAAATCACCTTGGCACCCATAAAAATATACCAGACACCTCCCTGGACAGTTTCTTTACCAATAGTAGACCTGTCCTTACTTAATCATGATAAGCATTCACACATTTCTGCAGAGATCAGGCTTCAATATCATACAAATTTACTCAAATATTCCACTCACAAATTGTTCTTCACTGATGCCTCCAAAACTTGCAACGGAGTAGCAGCTGCTACTGTATCAG